CCCCAAAACCCCAAAACCCCAAAACCCCAAAACCCCTGGTACCTCACCCTAAATTGAACCATTATTATGTCTACCAATTATAATTTGACCAACTTCTCAAGATGGTTATTTCAGTCTGTGCAGATCCTAACTTTCTGTGTTTTCTTTCTCATCTTGTTATACTTTGGATAATAATTCTGAAGGACTTTCTTCTGCTCACTACCGAGACCTGAGTTGAAAAGATCTTTGATTCTAACCCATTCACCACAACAACTATAGCAGAGGAGATGGCCACATCTCCTACAGTGATGTTTGCGGACGAAGAGGTCGAATTCCCTCTTGCATCTCATACATTTCTTTGAGAACTCATCTGGGATCCATCTCTGCAACGGAATTGGAGGAGGATTTGTCATCTCAGTTAAGGTGAGCTGTGGACTCATTATTCCATAAGAGCTATTTATTCTATCCAGGCTAGAATTTCCAGAATAACCCCCTTGATATTGTTGTCTTTTAGGATTATCCAACAACTTTATGGGAGACTTCTGGTCTGGGTCTTGGTAAAAATAATCAGCTAAAGATTTAGGAAGAAACTTACAATCCTTGAAACTCTTCTGTGAACAAGTGGACAGGTTGGACACTTCACTTAAATTATGGAGTCTCTCAAAGATCCTCACATCTTCTCAAGAGTTTGATCTCTTCAGATTGTGTTGACTGGGCACTAAATTGGAGAGCTTTTCACTAGGTTTTCTGGCAAAACACGCAATCTTATTCACGATTGCCTTCCTTTTCTCACAATCTGAGTTCAAAGATTCCTTCCTGGAAGGCTTCTTCTTCAGGGCTATCTCAAAACCCAAGTTGTTATGAACCCCTTCAGCATTTTTGAAGCTGAAACAAGACTCAGCAGGTTTAGTTTTAGGGTCCAATTTCAAATTTGGAAGGTCTTCTTTAGCTTCTTCATTAAGGGAAGCAAGGTCATCTAGAAGTGAATAGTTAGGATCCAAGTTCATTTATATCCTACCATGTACTTACTTATAATATCACCTTTCTCATCTTCTTCACCAGATTCTCGATTTTGGTCAGAGGTATTATTCTATAACAATTAAGGAATCTGGTAAAAATTAAATTGTTGGTAAGAGAGTTACATTGTTTATTTCTTTGATGATTTCAAGGCCTTCGTTCACCCACATTATCTGCCTTTCCAGAAATGGGGTTGACTGCACCTCTTCGTTCTGCTTGGCCTTCTCAATAATGTCCTCTGGATCTATAGCATTTTAGTCTCATTCTTGTTAGAGCGTTCTTAGGATGAAACTGAAGTGTTTAACTTACCTGCATTAAGCCCTGTTTTTGTAATAGGGAGATTACCCATAACTTTTTCAAGGAGAGAAACTAGCTTCTGCTTGATTTTAGTCAGTGGGCAAGTGGAGAGCACAGCCTTAGTGCTTGGCTTCTTATCGACTGGATGAACACTAGCTTTTCTTATCCTCTCTGCAAAAGTAACCTATATGTATTATGACTAAAAGATTGGATGAATGGATGGAGGGATCGCAAACCATATACTCTAAGAAATATCTATAAAATCATGAATCAAAAACTCTAAAAGTACCATACAATCAATATTTCTCCAATAGCAATCCTAATACAATAATTTAGCATTTCTAAACCCCTTAAAGCCTTATTCTGGACCCAAATCCTTCTTCCCTAACCCCTCAGCTTCCCTAATCCCCCTTTGCCCCTCTGTTCTCTCAAATTTTCCCTCACCTAAGCCCTCTTCTGCGTATTCAAATCCCAAAACCCCAATTTTCTTAGTTAAAGCTTACTTTCATTTTTTTTAATTTAAGTTTCAATTAAAAATGATTTTTTTGGGGTTTTGGGGTTTTGGGGTTTTGGGGTTTTGGGGTTTTGGGGTTTTGGGG